AGTGGGCTGTGGCTCTTGAGGCCTGAGGTGGGGGGCTACAGGGCCAGATCTAAAGCACGCCCAGACCCACAACTGCTTCAGTAAAGAAACCAGGGGTTGGTCAGGAAGTAAACAAATTGCGGGCTGCCCTTTGTCAGCTCTGGAGAATGTGTGCGAGTGAGTGGAAACTATTGATTTCTCATCAAATAACAGAAGGAAGCGTCATAATGCAGAGACCCACTGCTGAGAGGCACGGCAGCGAACTCTGGGCTGGCTGCTGCCTCCGCTGGGGAGCGCCCATTTTTGGGGTTTCTGCACTCTTAGTCCCTGATGCTGCTCTCTGCTCCAGGGGCTGGGGGAGGGTTGTTTTCCCACGTGTGGCTGAGGCAGGGCCCCTCATGCACTGGGCTGGGCTGAAGCTGAGGCCTCCTGCAAATGGGTGGCTCCGGCATCCTCAGGAGGTGCACCAGGTCCACGCTGAGCTTCTCGCAGCCTTAAGAAGTGGAGGGAAACTTGGGCAGGAGCCCTGGGCAGGCTGGGTTGCTGACCTGTTGGGGAAGTTAGAAAGGAGGGAGACCCCAAGAGCATCAGCTGGGCTCTCCCTTGTTTGTGGGTCCTACTTATGTTGGGTCCTCCTTGGGTGCATGCTTAATCTGGCTGGAAGGGGCTCAGGACTCCTGCAGGACACACATCTGATCATGTCAGGCCCTGATTAAAAATCTCTGGTTCCCACTGTGCACAGGGAACAGACAAGGTCCTTTATGTTAACATTCAAGGCCCGTCATGTTCTGGCCCCAACCTGTCACTCAGACTCCTCTCTCTCTTGCTTATCCCTGTCCCCTGAACCTCTCCTTCCTCCAGCCCCCAGAAATGGCTACCCCCTCCTAATATAGAACCTGGCTCACGGTGCTGTAATTCTGCATTTGTGGATACATTACCCCCTCGAGGCTGGGGAGAGTGTCTTTGCTCTACGCCCCAGCACAGTGCTTGTGAGTTGCCAGCCCTTAGTAAGTGAATCCAGATGGTGATTCCCACATCTGGAGAATCATCTGGACGGCACTGCACGTATCAGGTGACTCATGAACGCTCCCGACAGCGACAAGGCTCACTGGGGAATCCAAGTGGCTCCTCCTCACTTGGCTCCAGGCTAGAGGGGTACATTTACTTTCTGATCAAATATTATTCTGATGCTCGAGGTATCCTTGATGTTTGCAAGTCGGAAAAGTTTAATTACATGTGTCAGTAGGATGGCATTCTGTAATAGCTCTGTGACTGAATTCATTAACAGAATTCTTAACAGATAAGACAAATTAATATTTTGTTGCCCATGAAAGCATCTCATTAAGAGAGCAGTGAAAAGGTGATTAATATTTTGTTGCCAATCAAGATGTCTCATACAAATGACAAGGGAAGGAGGCCCGCGTCTCTCCGTGCTCTCAGATCTCCCCGCCTCGGGTTTTGTAGGCTGATCAGCTTCCCCTGTCTGTGCAGTGCTGCCGTGCCAGTTGCTAATTACAGCCGGCGATTGTATTTCATCTCTGATTGTGGTGGGTTGGGGTGGGCGCAGAGAAGCCACAGACTCAGGGACTTTAGGAACCCATCAATCCCTGATCTTTGCTCCGTCAGGGTTGCCCTCCTGGACTGTCCTCCTTTGACCAATTCTTGCTTCAAAAATGCCCCGTGAATCCTGATGACCTGGCTTTACCCCTCTCCAGCCTGATCTCCTCCTAGGGCCGCTCTCCTCACTGTCCCCAGGGTGGGGCTGCCATTTATGTACACCTGCTGCGTGCCGGGCACCGGGCTAGACGCTTCACACACACATTCAGCCTGAAAATGCCCATGCAAAGAGGACATTGTCACTCCCATCTCCCCTCAGGCTCAGAGCAGTTAAACAGCTGACCCAAGGCTGCTCTGGGCTTGCTGGAGGTCTCTGGCCAGCATCTCTCCCCCTGGATGAATCAAGGCTAACACGGACGGTGCTGGCCCTCCCTGACCACAGGCAGCAGGGGCACCCCAGGGTCGTTTCTGCCTGACCAGGGAGCCTCCCTGGGCTGCTGCGGGCTGCTTGTTGGGACTCAGGCTGCAGCGTGTTGAGAATGCTTTCTGGCAGCAGCAGTAGTAATAATAATGATAGTAATAATAGTAATTGTAGTAATGACAGAGTGATAACAGTTGGCATGGAATACTACATGCTAAGAACTTCACCTAAATCTTCTCATTTAATCCTTCCTATAACCTTATGCAGCAGGAACTAGTATTCATCCCCATTCCACAGAGGAGGAAACTGAGGCCTAGAGAAGTCAAGTGCCCTTCCAAGGTCACTCGACTAGTAAGTGGCAGAGCTGAGACTTAAACCCAGGTCCCTTTGACCCCAGAGCCTGTGCCCTTCACTATCAGGCTGTGTTGCCTCCCTCCTCTCCTTGAGGCAGGGGGAGGTGCTTGTGCACGTGTGTGTGTGTGTGTGTGTGTGTTTTGTGTGTGCTTGCATGCATCAGGTGAGGATCCCTGTGGGGCTGGCATTGCCCTGCACCCTCACATGGGGGTTTCTGAGAAGCACAGGGGCCTGCCTGTTTGTGGGCTGCTGACTTGACCATGAGCAGCAAGTGTTTCCTGGGAGGGAACAAAAGGCCATTAATCTCCAGTTGTACCCACAATTAACCCAAATTGCTAACCTCGCTGTGAAAAGTAGAAATGCAATTGAATTGGTGCTGGAGGCATGTTCGAGGGAGGGGAAAAACACTCACAGTAATTTAATTAACTGATGGCAAGTGCATTAAGAAGGGTTCTGCTTCTGCCTTCCCGTCTGATGTCTTGAAATAGAGCATCAAGTAACGCACGTGGATGTTCAGGCAGATACAGGTGGACCTGTCCTAGTTCTGAATCAGTCACCACTGACCAAACACAGTTAAAAGCTGACACCCCACCTTGAGAGCTTTTGCACACACAAGCCTATACACCCCAACACACACACACGCACCCTCGTCTTTATAAACAGGACACTGCCTTTCCTTGCTGAGATCCCAGACAAGCCCTGGGCGTCTTAGGCTCAGAAGACAAAGGATTCTGCCCACCCAGCATCTGCCCATCAAGTACCCCCCAGGGTTGTGCTGGTGCTGACATTCAGAGGTGGGTGGGATACAGCCTATGCTCACCATAGTGGGGAAATCACGAGTAAACAATCCTGCCCGGTGGGAGAACGGTCGGGGAAGGACACTCTTGCCCAGCTCTGCCCAGGGTAGAACCTCCAGAGTGGCCTCTTCTTCCCATCTGCTTCCCTCAAGATCTCCACAGTGCAGCCAAAGGGCCTAGAAAGTAGCAGAGTCCCAACTTTGGTGGTTCCTGCAGAATTTCACACTGGGCTCTCTCCCCATAAAGCAGTCTCAGAGTTGGAAACGATCTTCCAGGTCATGGGGTTTAGCTGCCCTATATTCCTGACCATGGCTCTCCTTGAGCTTGCATGTGTCTAGGGATGGGGAGCATACTGCCTTCTGTGATGGCTCACTCCATTGTGGGGCAGGTCTGATGGCTGAAATGGTGTTCCGCCCAAGCAGCCCAAATTGGTCTCTTTTTTTTTTTTTGTGAGGAGGTCAGCCCTGTGCTGCCAATCCTCCTCTTTTTTTGCTGAGGAAGATGGCCCTGGGCTAACATCTGTGCCCATCTTCCTCCACCCTATATGGGACGCCACCACAGCATGGCCTGCCAAGCAGTGCGTCGGTGCGCGCCCGGGATCCAAACCAGCGAACCCCGGGCCGCCGCAGCGGAGCGCGCGCACCCAACCGCTTGCGCCACTGGGCCGGCCCCCCAAATTTGTCTCTTTTTGAGGTGGACTCTGGCTCTTTGTGCTGGTCCAACTCATGGGGTTACATAGGCCAGGCCCGCTCCTGCTGCCCCAGGGCTTCTCTCACCACCTTAGAGATGTCAGCGGGCACGGACCACTCATCCTACAGGTCTTCCTTCTCTGGGCCCAGCATCCCATTTGCGGCCAGCTGGCCTGTCCTGAGCCAAGGAGACCAGGGCCATGCCCCTCTTTTGCCTGAAACTTATATTCCTGTTACTGTAGCTCAAGACCTGTCTGCTGTCCTGGCAGCGCACCACGTGGGTGACGTCACTGTCTTCTCACATGAACTTCTGAGAAGACACTTCACCCCTTGTGCCAAACCCTGGCCAACAAAATACACTTGAATTATTCCATTTATTCTCCAAGTCCAATAGAAAGGAGGTACCTCTAATGTTGCTATTCTAATAGATTAATTCATTGAGGATCAGTGGTTTAAGAAATTGCTCAAAGTCTCAAAGCCGGTGTGGGGTGACACTGGGACCCCAGCCCAGATTGCCAGGGCCTCAGAGTACAGAAGCACCCCTGTTGGCCATGTTAGGCTGTGTGAGCTCGGCTCTTTTCCACCCAGCTCATCAAATCCACATTCCCTCTCCCAGCAAACAAGGAGGGCAGGCCCCTCTGGCCTTATCTCCCTTCCTTCCACCTCCTCAACTGGCCGCTGCCCTCCAGCCAACCCAGCCTGGAAGCTTACCTCTGCCCTCCACAGAGAATACCCATTCCCCCTCGTCCAGCTGTCTATATCCTACCCAGCTGCAGGGCCCAGAGTTTTCCCTGAGATGCTCTCCCTTCTCGGGAGCCTCCTGCTCGGCCATGTTGTCTGTTGGCCTGTGGTCCCTCCGTCACACAGCCCGCTCCTCTTACATCCCGTTCCCACGCCCACCTCCGGGCCTTTGCTGCTGCGGCCTGTGCAGAGCCCTCCTGCCCTGCCCACCACGCCTCCCTGGTCAGTGCACCCTTCTCTTATTCTGAGCCTGGCTGGCAGGCTTACAGCCACCACCCATCCTCTTCTCTGCACGTGGTGGGGCTTGGATTTTCTGATACCTCCAGCCATCAGGCTTGAAAGGCACCAAACGTGGGATGTTGAACTAAAAACCCTCTGGCCCCGCCACTGCCACATGGTGTCTTGCACAGTTTACTTCCCTGGGGGTACCTTTGAGCTCAGAGTCAGAGCCAGGTGACTTACGTTGATGTCTTCCAAGTCCAGGAAGTTGAGGGCGAGCCCGTTGCGCTTCCAGACGATGGGTGGCCGCAGGTCTCCATGGACAGCGCAGGTCAGCACCGTGCTCAGCCCCACGGTCACTGTGGCTACACTGACCCTCTCCTCGGGGGCGAGGCTGAGCTGAACCACCTCTGCAGGGAAGAAGAAGAAGGCCGTCAGGTGCAGGCCTGGGGTGGAGTCTCCACTCGAAGGCAAACAGCCATGGGGATCTACTGCAGGGCAGCGGCCCAGGCAGCTTCGAGGCTCCCTGAAAATTGTTCACAACCTGCTGACTGAATGTACAGATGGACATTTCTCTCGTGAGAGGGGCCATGACTTATGTCAAATGCTCAAAGGGCTCTGTGAGTCAAAACAGGTCAGGAACCATAGTTAATGTAGGGGAACCATCAAGGCTATGGATTTGTGAGTTGGGCTGAGAATGTGGGCTGCGGGAGCCACGTGGGCGTCACACAGAGACCAGGGGGCCAGACGTGCAGCAGCTGCCCTGCAGTGTCCGGCCGGGCCTCCTGAAGTCTGGGCCTTGCTAAGTGCAGTCAAGGTCTGCTGGCTGTGCCGACAGGCTTCTCATCCATCTGGGGGCAATTTAAAGGTTGCACTGTCTGAGGTCCAGGGAATGAGCTGGCTGACCTTTGGAGGTTTGTTTCTGTCTGAGTAGTCTCTGAACTTGGATTTGGATTTCTGCTCAGCCACCATGCACGGTAGCCTTTAATTTTTTGAAGCGTACTTCAGGCTGCACAAATTACTAATCCTTGTCATTTTATACTTGATAATTGACATTAAGACTGATCATTCTTCAGCCAAATAGGAAGGGTCTAAAATATTTCCTTGCAATCACAGGCTTTTTGAAATTCTCAGGTTTTATGAAAAAATTAATCAAACTTGGGCTGTTCAAATGCCAAAATGGGATCAGGCTTGGAGGGAGAGTCACCAGCCCACTGAGGGGCCTGCCTCCTCCCTGCTCTTCCCCCAGATCTACCACTCAGGGGGCGAGGCGGGGGAAGCAGCCAGAGGCGGCGAGAGCTGAGGGAGGCAGGCTGGCTCTGGGGCTGTTCTTCTTTGGGGGGTGTCAGCAAAAATGCTGGGAGCCCCATCACTCTCACTACTCTGTTGGGACCTGGAGCCCTGACAGGTGTGGAGCAAGGCACAGCATTGGGAACTGAGCCCTGTGACTCAGCAGGACACTTCTGAGCTGTGACCAGGCAGCACATCTGTGCTCACACCCGTTGCCGGTGTGTGGGGGAGGGGAAGGAGGACGGGGGCGAGAATAGCTGCAGGTGCGATGCACTGCAGAGCAGGTGAGGTGAAAGCAGGTGCAGGCAGGTCAGATCCTGAGCTGCAAAGCCCTCCCCCTCCACAGACACTCAGTGGCCCAGCTCTGGGCCCACGAAGACGAACATGATATACAGTAGGTGCTTAATCAGTGCTGGATGGATGTAAAATGGAGAAAATGGAAATAAAGAAGGAAAGGAGCCAACAGGCCAGTGGAGAGGGGACAACCACACACAGGAAAAATGTGACTCCTGGTGAAGGAGCTGAGCGGGGAAAGATAACACCGAGTGATTGATGCGGACCCAACCGGCATAACATTCCACAAACATTAAAGTGATGCATTTCAAGTTCCCTCCTAAATCAGGTCTGCTTGCTGCCCTTTCACCTCTGAGTCATGAGGCTTATTGCTCAGGGTGAGACAGAGAAGGCACTAGCCCTCTGTAGCAAGACCCAGGCTTTGGAGATGGGGAGCAGAGAGAGGGAGAGGGAAGGAGAACTTGCTAAAAGTGTGTTTCTCCCCCTGTGCTGTGCTGGCCCTTAGGACTCAGAACCCAGAGTTCTCCCCGAGGATAGAGGGGGTCCCCCTTCCTCATCAATGAGCCACTGGGGCCCATGAGGCTTTGTGCTCTGTGGAAGTAGGAAGGGGTATGGAATGGCCCCTCCTCGTCCCAGGGGATTGTAGGAATAAGGAAGATGATGAGAAGGGTCAAAAGTGTGCCTGTTGGTGTGTAGGTGAGGGGAAAAAAGGAGGGGCTCTGGAATGAGGCTAAGCTCTCCCCCCACCAGCCTGCCCCCTCCCCACCTGCGGCAATCACACGTGGCATGGCAGAGAGCCAGAGCCCCCTCAGCTCCCAAGTGGAATGGTGTGGAGGGGCCCAGAGGTTCCTGGCCACACGCTGGCTGGGCTATGAGGGCCTCTGTACCTCTGTGTCTGAGGACTGCATTGGACTGCCAGACCAGGGCCCCAAGGGAATGCCGTGGACCTTGAGGGGTGCCTAGTGCCAGTGGGGGCTTCGGAAGGCCGAGCTGTGGGGGAACACCAGACTCTGGACTCCACCAGGCTGAGGGAGCTCAGACCAAGAGCACAGCCCTGGCTGACCTCAGCCTAGAGCACCCATAACAGAGCAACTGGGGTCCTCGCAGTGGGAACCAGAGGTGGCAGAGGACGGCCATGTGCTTCCCTCCACACTCAGAAACCAGCCTTGGGAGCAGCTGGGGACTCCAGGTGGGAATCGGAGACAGGATGCATCTTTCTTAGATACAGCATTACTTACGTGGACTGTTAAACTGATCAGCTGGGACTAAGCTTTACAGCGGATTGAACATTTAGTTGCGTTTTTCTCCCAATGGCTGGTGGGTGGGGCTTGTGAAGAAGTCAGGTAGGTTACAGAAGGAACCTACATCTTCTCTGCACGCCTGAGCTCCAGTCAGACTACAAGGAAAACGTCAACTGGGCATCAGGGAGGGGCCCTTGGAGGAGGCAGGACCTCCCGTGGGCCGCAGAGCTCCCCTTCCCCAGGTGTGGGTCCCCCACTCCCTGCATCACATCTTGGGGTGGCTGATGAAACAGATCCTGCCCTTCCACCTCAGGCTGATACGGACTCTGGTGGCAGGGTGGGCATCAGGTTTGAGAAAGCATCCCAGGGGCTCCCGGGGTACCTGGAGGCCTGAGAACCATTGCCTTAAAAGACCGGGTGTGTGTCTGTGTGTGTGTGTGTGTGTGTGTGTGTGTGTAAATGGAAAGGGGAGTACACGAGGGGGATGGGGAGGTGAGGCATTCTGGTTGGCTGGGGTCTCACTTGGAATGTAGGATCCCCTCTTCCATGTGGCCCTAAAGTCAAATATTTCAAACAGTTTTAGAAAAATGTCTGGAGGAGCCTATAGCACAGGGCTAACAACAAACAAACAAAATCCCGAGTGGGAAGGGCCTGGGAGCGCTGCTCTGCATCCTTCCTGAGTGCGCCCGCTCATTTGTATGTCTGAAGACGTGCGCTTCGTGCAGGAGAGACTCGTGCAAAATTAGAATGCGTCTATTAGCACCATCATAATTCTGCTCCTGTCAGCTACACAAATATTAACCAAACAGCAAATATTTGGATCATTTAAAGTTTAATTAAATGAATGTTTTATTGGATTTAATTCGTGTCAGTATTCCCTAGCTTGTTTGAAAATTCCAAAGAGATTTATGGCAACTGAAGCTCTCCTTCGCCCTCATTCCCAGTTATTTACTGTTCAACACGCCTTCCTGGCAGCCCCGCTGCCCTGCTGAGTGACCTCCCAGGGTGGTTTCCTGGCCAGTGAAAAATGAGGCAGCATCATGTGCTGGGGCTCGAGTGAGCAGGGCAGATGCTGGACTGTGGCTCAGGACACCGGGCCTCCAGGCCTGGCTCTGTTGGTGACATGCTGAGCTGCCTTGGGTAGGTCCATTCCTGTCCCTGGGCCTCACTTTAGACATTAGTAAAATGAGGGATTGGGCCAGGAGAGCTCCGGGGGCCTGTCTCACTTTTAAGCTCTGAGATTCAAAGTGGATGTCCCTGCAGACCAAGTGGACGTCCCTGTAGACCCTCCTCGGTCCCACTAGGAGCTGCCCAGCTGTGCCTCCCCAACACCCACCCAGTGCCATCTGCCTCTGTTCTTTGCCCACTTGCCTGTGATGGTACAAGTGACACCTCAAGTGGCAGCAGCAACAGTTGCCAAGCCCCACAGAGGCTGCCCTCATGACACCCCCTGAATCCTCCCCTTCCTCTCCGTGCCAGGTGCTCAGCAGCCTCCTGTGTGTCACCCCTCTAGTTTGCCTCCACAGCCTGTGAGTCTCCTGCTCACCCCTTAGAGTATAAGCCCTGCTCAAAAGCCACCAGCGGCTCCCCATCACCCACACTTCACCACAGAGAATTCAGGACAGTCCCAACCTTGCTTCCCATTCACCTCTCACCTCACTTACTGCGGCGCCCGCTGGTCCCTGTCCCATTTGTGGTTTTGGGCCTCAGCGTGTGCCTGCTCGGCACTTTCTACTTGTCTATTCTGAGACCCTTACACTCTTGGCCCCACCTCCAAGATGACCTCATGGGAGGTTTCTGGGACCCTGAAATTTTAACATAAGGAGACACTTGGACAGACACTGGGTGAAGAAGATTGAAAAAGACTGTCTTAGTGAATGCGTCAGGACTTTTTTAGGCTTAAGTAACAGAAACTCAGAAACGCTCAACCAGCTTAGGAGAAAAAAATGAGGGTGATCTCAGTGCCCATAACTGGGGAGAGGGAGTGCTGCAGGCATCCAGGACCCTAAACAATGGCATTCTCTACTTGGCTACAAGATGTCCAGTGGCGGCCCCACACTCACATTGTCCCTGTACGTGGGATCCCAGAGAAGGGGACCAAATCTTTCCGAGAGCCCTGGAAAAAAGCCTGGGGAGAACTCTGATTGGCCAGCCTTGCCTCCTGTGTTCTTCCATGGAGCCATCACTGAGGCCAGGTGATGGACTACTGTGAGTCACAGGGCTGACTGACCCATCACACTTGGGCCCTGTGGCCACCTCTGGGGCCAGGAGCTGGATTGTTGGGATGGGGTCAAATGTCCTGACAGAAAGGGTGTGTTGGGCAGATCAACACCCTATGACCACCACAGAGATGCAGAGAGGGCTCCTTCTCTTCCCTCCATCCCTTCACGGCCCCATGTGGAAGGCTTAACATCGTTTATGATGATGAGGGAAGATAGGTGGAGACATTTATGAAGACGACGAGAATCATCAGAACTGAAACCTGATTTCGGTTATTGCAGTCTGCCCTTACCCCCGCCCCTTCTCTGGAGAGCGATTTGGGGAGGGGTTGGTGGTGGTGTGGCCCAGCTGAGGGGACCCCATAA